AAATTATTGACATTTGTGCCTGTACCCGCTTGAAGTCTTCTTCCTCTTTATCGTCTCAAGTGACGCACTTCTGTAGGCTACTTTCCACTTGCACCTCTCTTTCTCAGCCTTTGTTTGAACTTTTCGTTAAACTGAGAGTGATTTATTTATTTTATTGTTTTCTTACAATGTCTTCCTTGGAAGGTTACATTAAGTGTACATGAACATAATAATATTTTAGTTTAGATCTAGTTGTGACAAATTCGTAATTGTTTATGGTTGTTTATGATTGTTTATGAGATAACATCAATTGCTAAACAAGAAAGAAAATTCAAGCTTTTACAGGCAATAATAATTAATATGCATTCATGATGATGATGATGATGATGATGATGATGATAATATATATATATATATATATATATATATATATATATATATATATATATATATAATATATATATATATTATATATATATATATATATATATATATACATACATATACATGTATATATGTACTTACTGAGGTGCAAAAAAACCGCGAATTTTTATGACAACATAATGTTTGGCAAAATGCAACACTAACATAGGTTTCAAGTTATTTGTTGTGTTTATTAACTGAAACTTTGCACACTTCTTGAGTGATATAGCTGACATGAACTGAGGGTCCAGCACATTCATTTGAGCTCACGTTGACCTTGACCTTGGTGAACAAACTTAGTAACGCGTGTGGCCTCCACGTGCAGCGATTACAGTGAAGCATCTTCTGTTCATATAGTTAATCGAACGGTTGATCTGGCCGTTTTGGATGCCACCGAAGATCTGGGTGATGGCTGCAGTCAACTGGGCTGCTGTTCGAGGCCGTGGCTGCATCTGGTTAAGCTGTCTTTGGATCACGTCCCACAAATGTTCAATAGGGTTCAAGTTAAGTGAGCGAGGTGGGTGTGCCCAAAAAATGACATTGTTCTGGGTACCACGTGCGGTATGTGGTCGTGCGTTGTCTTGTTGATACAGGAAGTTAGGATGCCTCTGTAGAAAGGGCACCACATGAGGTGCCAAGACTTGTGCAATGTAGCGCTGAGCCGTGACGCCGTTTTCACGTCCTGGACCAATGTTCTGGAAGATGACAGGTCCCACTCTATGATTCAACGCCATGACTTCCCATACCATCACGCTCTAGCCTCCCCAGAGGTCACGCTCCAGAATGTTGTTGTCGTCGTAGTGAGTCGTGTCTCTACGCCACACACGGATACGGCCATTCGCTGGATGGACTCAGAACCTGCTTTCATCACCGAAGAGAACTCTCCTCCACTGTGCGTTTTGCCAGTTGACATGCGCCTGCGCCCACTGTAGCCATTGTTGGGGATGCCTTTGTGTTAGGACAGCTCCCTGGTAAGGACACCTGCAGTGAAGACCAGCAGTCACTAACCTCCGTGACACAGTCCAGCGGCTAAGTTGGCTTCCAGTCGTTCCCGTGGTTGTTCTGGTAGTCTCTGCAGCCGGCAGAAACTAAACGGATCGCGGCGGTGCCGACGAACGATGACACGATCATTGGCTGGGGTTGTCACCCTTGGTCTTCCGCTTCTTGGTCGATCTGCTGTGGTCGCTGTCGCTTGTAGTCGGTTCCGAAGGTTATAAATGCTTGGGTGGACACCAAAAACCTGGGACACCTGTTCCACCGACTCACCGGACGCCAGTCGTCCGACAGCTCTTTCTCTGTTTTCCTTTGATAACTTTGGCATGTCTGTAGCTCGTCTGTTTCGATATGAATGCAACATTTCGAGACGTGGATTTTATAGGAATACGCCCAGGACTGAGTGAGCATAAACTCACCACTCACAACAAGTTGCAAGTGTGTCCCAGTGGTGAGTGATGACTCGTGAGTTGTGCATTGCTTACGCAGCCAATGACATCTTTGCGACGCTCAAAAATGCCCAATCAAGACGCTCAAGACAAGTGTTGAGTGGTATGAGTTCATATGACACAACTATGAACTCAGCATTGGGCGATTACAACAACATTAAAACATCGTGTTGTTGTTTTTTGCACCTCACTATAAATATATATATTATATATATATATATATATATATATATATATATATATATATATATATATATATATATATATATATATATATATATATATATATATATATATATATATATATATATATATATATACATATGTTCTCTTTAAGAATAGGAATTATGTCCCTCCATTTCTTTTCTTCTTATGTGATCTCAATAAAAAGCTCTCCAGAAAATTCAAGATTTTACAGGTAACGTGCATTCATTTTCTCCTCCGAAATGGGAGTTATACCCCTGTTACGTTTCTTTTTTTTATGTATATGGTCTCAATATTAGCTCTCAGTGTTAGTTCATAATTTGTACATGTAGGCCTACTGATAAAGGAGTCTGTGTTCAGCAGCTCTTCCTTATTTCACCACAGTCTGTGCCCAAGTCTGGTTGTTCTGCCTTCGTTGAAACTGTCTGTGCAAAGTTGAGTGGGCAGATTGTATATTTACATACAACATGTAAAAATTAGCCTGTGGATTCATGTGAGCTCTGAGCTGAGTCTGCGGTGTCCTGTTCTTTCTGTAAACTGTAACTGACCCTGTATGTCAGGGATGAAGACGACGTCCTCTGACTTTGGTTTCTGTTCATGTATCCATCTTTCCTCCTGTGTCTATTTTTCCAAAATTACTGTTTAGTCTTATTGAGGGTTTGGGTGCTCTACATTTTAAAAAAAATATTTTAAAATCAAATTTTAATTCTTAACATTTTTTGTCTTTACCTTTTCTCCTGCATTAGAAATGGACAGTCGTTATTTTCCCCTGATTGTATTACTATAATTATTATCTCCTTTCCTTTGCTCTTTTCATTTCAGTTGCTAATGCCCAGCTCCTAGGTCTGTGGGGATCTGAGGGCCGGGCTTTACTGCAGTTCCTTCATTTCACTTTCACATTTGCTTTGGGCGGAATGCTGACACATTTGTATACAGAGCCATTCCTTGCGGGAAAAGATGTTTCAGATGATTACACTACAGATTCCCAGCTTAAAATTGCTCCTCCAGATTGTCACTTGTTCGGACTCCTTTTGAGAAATCAGTCAGGACAAAGCTTCATATTACGTAGATTTCACTGAAGAAGTGGAAATTGGTTGCATTTTCTCTCGAGCATTTCCTGTGGAAGGGTTACCGAAGACAGTTGCAAAGTTTCTAATTGTAATTGCGAGTGAATGCACACCTGACAATTGTTTCATCAGACCCGAGATCAAAAACAAGCTTCAATGGAAACGTTCATGTTCTTAGCATTGAGATGTCTATAATATGGGTCAAAATGACATGACCCTGTACAAGCATAGTGACATCTTTACTCGTCATTTTTTTAAACTTGGTTTTGTTTGAAACATGTCAAATTGTGATAGTATTTGTATAAATGATTGACAAAACCATAACTGAAAGAACAGTGGTTTATGCTTTTCGTTTTAATGATACTGTAAATAATACAGGGGGTTGGGTCATTTTGACCCGACGTTGTTAAGGTTAAGCGCCGATGGCAAAAAAAATGCATCGAACTTCATAGGAATGACATTGAAAAGTAGATAAATAGTGTGATTTCTTTTTGCTGGCTTTTCATTGTAATTGAAGTAAAATTTTCCAAGGTATAGATCTAGCCATTTTCACATAAACTTTGGGGACAGCCCTCATACATAGGCCTACAAATAAATGTAGGCTTAATTAATACGTCCAACAGTTCAAAATGTCGTAGATCCTCCATGGCGCTGGAGTCTGAAATAGCAAACCTAGGAGCCTGTTCTAATTTCCTCCCAGATTTTATTACAATATTTAAAACTGAGCGTATTAAATCAATACAAATTGTTCTTGGCTCGCGCACTGTGTGTGTGTGTTGTGTGTGTGTGTGTGTGTGTGTGTGTGTGTGTGTGTGTGTGTGTGTGTGTGTGTGTGTGTGTGAGTGAGAGAGAGAGAGAGAGAGAGAGAGAGAGAGAGAGAAAGAGAGAGATGACATAGTCTTTAGGCTTAGAAAGCGCAACAGGATGCTACATTGAAGCAACTTTTAGCCTAAAATGTACTTTCCTTTTTTAGCCAACCTGCCCTAAATTTTCACAACGTAGTTCTATTCGCTAGACTATCCAGATAATGAACATGGAAAGAACTCAATTCTCCAATTCCTCAATTCTTTTTTTATAAGCAAAAAACTTTTTGAAAACACGTAGCGCCAAGGTCACGTGCCTCAACATAACCTGCGACCGCAATAGTAATATTGTGTAGTTTGTGTGTTCGTGGGTGCGTGCACACGTATGTTCTCTCTCTCTCTCTCTCTCTCTCTCTCTCTCTCTCTCTCTCTCTCTCTCTCTCTCTCTCTCTCTCTCTCTCTCTCTCTCTCTCTCTCTCTCTCCCTCTCTCTCTCTCTCCCCCTCTCTCTCTTTGTATGTGTTAAAATATCTGTCCATCTTTATCTCTAATTATCTGCGCGTGTGTGTATATATATAGATCTATATATATATAATTTCTCTCTCTCTCTCTGTCTGTCTGTCTGTCTGTCTGTCTGTCACCCGGGATCATAGATCTAAATCTTGATTTTTTCCCCCTTATTTTTCTTCTTTTTTTTCTCTCTCTCTCTCTCTCTCTCTCTCTCTCTCTCTCTCTCTCTGTGTGTGGGGGGGGGGGGGGGGGGGGGGGGCTCGGGGACCGTTTCAGAACAGTTACAAGACAAGACAGGCTATTGTCATAATATTATTATTGTCATCTCAGGCCATAATATTAAATATACACTTGTAATATTCATTCGGAGTATATTAACAGTACATGCCTATAGCCTACTATTATCTCAATCTCGTTTTTCAAGATGCCTTTTCTAGAAGTTGCGCAATTCAGCAGAAGCGCGGTGTGGAAAAATAACTGGGTAGTAGATCTAGATCTGAGAAAGTCATTGAGGGGTCGCAAATGCACGTCTTCATCTCGCGAATAGCGAACACCCGCACTCCCTCTGCTCGGTGACAGCTGATAATATCACGTGACGCAAAATCACATGATTTTATCTGCCTCTTTCAGCCTTTGTTGTGATCTAGATCTAGTCAAGTTTACGTCTAGTCAAAACCCCTACTACTACCAGAGAGTATATTTTAGTGTCTCTGCTACTACTAGCCTACTTACTGTCTTGCCATCGTGATAAGTCTCGACGGTCGAGTGCTTGTTATCTTCATCTCTGACCTAAGCTGCTACAACGTATCACAGTTTGCTGCACGCATCCCAGTTTTAATGTTGTTAACCTTGAAAAGTTGCTATAAAGGTGTATTTGAAAGTCTCGACCGAAAACGTTGATCTGATTTGATGCGATCAGTATCAGGCCAGGAGACTTGCAGTGTCACTGGCAAACACTACGTCCCCCTCAGACCTCGCAGTGATCCTCCATGTAAGTTCTGATGTAGTAATGTGAACGATTGGTCCAGTGTTGCAGCTTTATTATTATATTTATTGTCAGTGATTAAATTGGGGTACTCGAACGCATATATATGCTAAGGAATGCTAATTTTAATGCCAATTATGTGAGGTGTTCTTAATATTTATTTCTAGATTTTAAAAAAATAAATTTTGTAAGTGTTTTACGGCGCTCGCAACTGCATAAGATCATATTATTATATGAGCGCGCAGGATATATTTAACATTTTCGTTTGGTAGGGCATTTTCTATTCGAAGTGGCTATTTCTCCGAACGTTCGGGAAAATAAACTTGAATTGAACTCTATTTCTCCTAACGGTTTCCGTTCTCGAGATTTTTTTGTTATTTGCGAGATTTAGGCATCATCTTTCTTTCTGCCATTCTGCGAGGACTGAGAAGCATTTTTTGCATCGAATTCAATTTCTAGAGCTAGAGATTTTTAAATGTCTGAATATTCAGATACTTAGTAGTGGTTGGGGCAACTTTCCCGGACTTCATTTGAAAATACCTTCAAAAGGTTCTGCGAGAAAACAAGACTGATCGACCTTGGCAGCTAATAACCTATTTTGCATTTAGTCAACCAGCAAAAATTAAAATCCTTCAAGTGAAAAAGAAAAATCCCTCCCCCACACACAAGCACACACACATACACACACACACACACACACACACACACACACACACACACACACACACACACTCTCAAACACACACACACACACACACACATATAGACACATGCACTCTCCACACACACACACAATACACATTCACACACACACACTCGCACACACACACACACACACACACACACACACATATACACACAAGCACATACACACGCACATGGGCCACTCCATTCGCAATTATTAGATCTGTCAACAATTCTCGAGAACGGAAACCGTTCGGAGAAATAGAATTCAAGTTTATTTTCCCGAACGTTCAGAGAAATAGAGCCAGCCTTTTCAATTTTGCCCTAGTGGTGGCCAAAGTCTAATCTTATCGATTTTAGACCACAAGGAATCTTTAACGTGGGCAACTTGCACACGGGACCTCCGAGATTTTTCGCCCTTATCCGAGAAGGCTAGCGTACATGTAGATCTTTCCTACCAGAAGATCAAGGGCTGTGTGGCTGAAAGACAGCAGTAAGAAGGAGCCAAGGAGAAGCAGTAGAAAGGCTGCAGAAATAGTCAAGAGCACAGAGTAGTGGGCAAAAGAGGTCATGAGGCGGTGGGGGAAGAAAGTGGAGACGAAACCAGACGACAGAACATTGCTAAAGAGCTGGAAAGAAGGTGAAAGGAGACAATTTTAGAGAAGAAAAATTTTCAGTCGCTACCAGGATTCGAACCTTGGACCTTAGAATGAGAGGCAAACACCTTAACCTCTAGCCACGACAGCCTCCTTCAAGATCTCTGAACTCGACTCTTAACAATTAAGATTTAACTGCAATGATTTGTGGTTGTGTTTTTAAATTTCAGTTCTGGAGTCAAAATAGTTACTCATGATCTCATCTATTCAGCGGTATTAATTGTCAGATTCTTGCAAAAACTAAGAAAGCATGATATCCACTTGAGACTAGTCTTAACTTTCTGATTACATCACAAGTGAATGACTTATTTCCTGTAATATCATCTTAAATCTTGTTCATTTATCTTGCTTTTGATGAAAAAAAAACCGTTATCATTATCTTGAATAGAAGTTGAGATATTTGCAATTGAGGGAAGTGGTTTGCCTGGTTTTAGAGGTAAAATTAGCAAGAAAATGGCCACGAAGTCTGTGACTTCCAGAGCGGTGTCCTTGGAAACTACTTTAAACCAAAAGATGATGTTCAGGTGATGACAGATGCAATGATAAGTACAGCAAGCCCTGAATAAAAGAGTGTTACTAAGAGGACATCATGTAATGGGTTGCCTTTCAATTAATAATATAGGCTACATCCCAAATCAGTTAAATTCAAGTTGAAACGTTCTGAATTTGTATGTTCCCTTTTTAATTAATTTTTTTTTAAAACAGAAAGGACTGGTTATATTCTCATCATGGCAATGCACTTCACAACTCTGGTTGCTGTGGTGTGTGCTACAGTCTGTGGAGCCTATTCACAGTCCATTGTGTTTGATGACGCTCCTGGAATGGGGCGCCAGTTTGATGGAATAGGAGGTCTAAGTGGCGGAGGTGTAAGTATTTTTATAGTCTTCAATGCTAGTCTGATAGACCTAATGGTTTTTAAGAGGAGAGGAGAAGTTATTTATGTAGCCTATATCTCAAATCTTCCTAGCTATTAATGTTTTTGTGGAAACACTGGGACAGCAATTTTTAGGAAATGTGTGACTTAGACATGCTCTCAATGGGAGTCAATGATCCTATGCCTGAGTCTATATTCTGTAGTGTAAACAATGTCAAAATCATTTGGCACATAATCTTTTTTATTTACTAGTACTATTTATTGGCTATTGCTGCAATCAGGAAAAGCTGAGAGAATATGGTCATATCATTGCCTTTGAAGTAAGACGGCTTACCCACACAATGTCATTTCTTTTTGATTTGACAAATCATTTGGAAATTATCTATATGCTTAGTCAAAGTCTTATCTGACTTTTGATTAGAAATACTTCTAAAATATTACAAATACAGCCAAACAACCTACTGGTCGTCAGGTTGCTGCGTGATGAAACCGTAAAAGTTTTTTGCTTCTGTAGAATTTACTCCGATGGGGCTAGCCATTCTTATCACAAGGGCAATGATATATATATATATATATATATATATATATATATATATATATATATATATATATATATATATATATATATATATATATATTCAGAGAAAAAAAGTAAAGGACCATTTTTGATAAAATGTATCTTTTAGAAAACTGTGTATCTAAGCTTTATTATATTAGTAAAGTGTCACTCATCTTGTTTTTTGTGAGAATAAGCAACTATTTAACAGTCAAGTGATTTTATTAACCTTTGCATCTTTCTCTTTTTTTTTCTTCTCCTTTTTAGGCTACATCAAAGCTACTTGTCAACTACCCACAAGAACAACGTGACCAGATTCTTGATTATCTGTTCAAGGTATTTTTAAAACTATTGCTACTTCCTGTATTGTCCCCATGGAACAAATTGACATTTTACAACTATTGCTGGAGCAAAATGATAAATAAGAGTCAAATGGTATTCCTATACTGTTACACATGTAAGTCTTTAAGAAAGTAAGTCTCTAAGCCTGTAGGTTTGATAAAACTTGTTGCCAACAAACCAGATTCCATTGTCTAATCTTTTTTTGCCTTTACTTGTGGCATTGAAGCCTTGAGATACACCCACTTGAATCCCCCCTCCCTCCCCCCCATGTCTTTATCTATAATTCTCTACAGAGCTTTTTCTCTTTGAAAAAAAGTCACTGATATAAATGTATATTATATATATATCCATTGTTTTACAAATGATTTAGGTGGTCCAGCATTATTTCCTCCTTTTTATCAGTCTACTGTTCATATAGATGAATATATCAGTTATCGTGCCTACTCAGCATTAAATCAACTTTGTTTCTTCACCTCATCATTCTAATTTGATTAGTTTTCTATCATTTTTAAATCCACCTGTTACTTTGTGCCTCTCCTTGTAGTGTCAGGCAGACGAGAGTCAAAACATTCCTTTAACAGAAGATCTTACACGCTAACTCACCAAAGACCGCTTTGCGTATTGATATTAATTGATATATATATATATATACACCTATATTCTCAGGAGAATATATTGAGAGGTTAGTACTGTTACTGAAATTCTGTTATCAGCCCTGTATTTACTTTGATTGTATCATTTGTGACAAAAAGTACATTATTTTGAACTCTACAGCCAAATTTTGGAGCTTCTCTTCACATTCTTAAAGTAGAAATTGGAGGAGATGTCCAGAGTACTGGTAAGCTCATCATAAATGTTATCTTAGTTGCTTATCATTCAGATATAAAGATGATTTTTTTTTTATTGATGTGGTTGAATTTGTGTTAGATTGGCATGTGTAAAATATATGGTAATACTTACATGTTACATACACTGCTTATTATTTAAGATACAAATGAACCTTCAAACACAGTCTTAAATTCACAGTTACCTATCTTTAGCTGCCTTTCGAATGTACAGTCGAACCTAGTGTGTAAAACAGCCTCCCATTGTCAAAGAAAAAAGTGGCCGTTTAACACAGGTGGCTGTCTTAGGGAGGACTGATCAAAATGATGAAAGACACCGTTTCCTTCTGAGGTCTAAGCCGGGGCTGATCTTAGGCTTAGGACTGCCGTAAGGCTAATTCCAAAGGGCTATTATTGTTTTCTTTTGAAAAAAAAAAAGGGGGGGGGGAGGTGTAAAAAAGGGGGGAGAGGTGTTGTTGTTATTTTTTGGTTTGTTTTTTTGGTTAGCTTCTGTTTTTGTTGCTGATTTTGTGTAAGTTAAAAATAAACGAAAAAAGCCGATGAAGACTGAGTGAAGACCGGACCGGGTGTCATGGTAAAACAAACACTGGATTGCCACCACTCTGAGAACGAGCGACACTTCTGTCGCATGTTCACGTAAACATCCATTGTTACTTTGTTACAGATAAGGTAAACAAAACAGTGATCACATAGGATTTGTGTATGAGTTGTGGGTGGGGCTTCAAGGATATGACGGATCCCACGCTTCGCTCACCAGCATTTGAAAATTTATCGTTACCCATCCATTGGTCAACTTTGGTAAACTTTCATTGGAGGGACTAACAATAACGACAGGTGAATGGATTATCATAACAAAACGGCCTGTGTGCCGTATTATCATCAGAAGGACTGTCAGACTGGTTCCCCATCAGGTCTGGGGTAAGACAAGGGTGTGTTCTTTCTCCGCTTCTCTTCATCGCTTACATGGATAAAATCACGAAAGCAGCAAATGACAACATCACTGAACTGAACAAGCTTCTATTTGCTGATGACCAGAGTATATTAGGTACAGATGAAGAGGAATTACAAAAACACACCCCAAAACTAAATGAGGAATGTAAACACCTAAACATGAAAATCTCCATCTCAAAAACAGAGTCATGTCAGCAGAAACCCAGGGAAACTCAACATTCTTATTGATGGAACACAACTCCAACAAGTAGAGGAATTTAAATATTTGGAAAGGATCTTCACACAAGATGGGCATATAGGGTCTAGGCCTACTGCATCCTTGTGATCCGTCACCCACTGGCTGCGCCAGTGAAGAGACAGACGGCGAGGATGGTTTATGCTCATTGCACCGCTTGCGGTTGTGTCTCCTTGGAGCAAGCAGGATCTTTGCACCAAAGTTATCTTTGTCACTGTAGAGAAATCAAGGCATCGTTCTTACCGCACAAGAAGAAAGGTGCATGAAACTGCTCTTCGCAGCACCAATTTGGTGCAAGCTAAAAATTTGATCCAAGTTTCCGCGAACCTATCTACTACACTAGTAGAGTCTACGGTAACTCAATGAAGAATGGGTATCGAAACTGTTGTCTCCCTCTATTGTGTAGCACGTCCTGGTGCTGCTCGAAGTACTTAAAAATCTTTAAATCTTCTCAGATTGTAGCATAGTGAGTTGTTAGTATTGTTTCACTTTATTGCAGCTTTTATGCGGTTTCATCTAGAAACAGTTGTAAATACATGTATCGATATATGAAGATTACGGGATATCCTGCAGATTCTAGTTGACTTTCTCTAGAAATCTTAAAATAGTAGCTACTAAGCCTATTGCCCATTTACTCACTTTCCAATTATGCACCACCTTGTCTACAACCCATGCAATGCCACTGAGCATATGGACTAAGAAATAGAAACAAGAACTATGATGGCAATTGCAGTGACCTACCAGCTAGCACCCCTGCTCAGTCACAAGAATATCCCAACTGAAGTGAAATCCCTGCTCATAAATAGTATCTTCATACCAACATTAGCATACCAGTGTCAAAAATGGTCTCTAAACAGGGCACAAAAAAAGAAAAATCAATGCATCCGAAATGAGGTGTCTCCTCAAAACCATCAATGTCATCAGAAGAGACCGCATAAGAAACAAAACCATACGTCTACGAACCGGAATACCACCAGTAATACAATTCATAGAGTGTCAAAGAGTCAAATGGTTTGGGCATCTAACCAGAATGCCCCAGAAACAACTAGCATTGTAGAGCTTACTACCAGAGAATCCGGCTTCAAATCAAGAGGAAGACCAAGAGAAAGACCTGGCTGGGTGGGGTTAAAAGGTCCTGGAACCACATAACATATCTATCACAGACACTACACACCTAGCACAGGACCGAAACCTGCACCTCCCTTCGACATCCTAAGGATACCAGAGGAAGGAAAAAGTAAAAAGTAAGTAAGAATGGAATATGACGGCCCATCCACAGCGTCAGGGTCCTCTTAAAATTTATGACAAAGCACTGAGCAATGGGAGACCAAACTGGGCTTTCTAAGGCAGGTAAATTTGGCTGTGGGTTGATAAAATAAGGTGGCCGCGGCCAAGTTGGACAAGTGACCAGTTATTTATGTCGACAAAATGCAAGGGGGGAATTAAAAAGTGGCCATTTGTACAGGTGGCCGTATTATACCGGTGGCCGTCATGGCAGGTTCGACTGTATATATCTAATTCTGTTTTTAACCATGAACACTTATGTCCAAGTGCTTCTGTCTCAAATGTTTGTTTTGTTGAATATTTTTTATTGACACGGAAAAAAATGTTTATTCTTTGAAACAGGGTTTGGCATCTCTCTTTGTCCTATGATTGTTCACTTTCCGTCATCTTATAATCTAGATCAAAATCAGTACAGAGACCATTATCTTTCTGTTATGACAATGATTGTTTTGACACATTTATTTTATGTTGCATTGTCAGATGGCACTGAGGCATCCCATATGCACAACAGCTGGGAGGAAAATTACCAGAGAGGCTATGAATGGTGGCTCATGAAAGAAGCCAAAAAGGTTTGTTTGTTTAGCAATTAAAAGAAGCTCTCAGAATTGTTGTTGCGGCTATGAAAATGAACATGGTAAAGGGTCTATTATTTATTTATGAAAGAGAGTTAGATCTATATATTGTGTTGTTGCAAAGAAAGACTTTGAAATGTGACACATGCAGCTGATTCCACAAACTTTACAAAGCATGCTTTGGTGATGGTTGTTTTTTTGGAGATACAATAGTCATTTCTCCACTCATTGCTTAGGACAGCACGGCTGTGAGTTTGAGTTAATTTTAAATAAAAAGTAGATGAATGTTTACTTTACAGGAGCTGCTTTGATGTATGGCTGCAGGAATAAAAGTATTAAAATCTCTGTTCATGTCAGCTGTGTGCAAATTGAACTGCTATGCTACTATTCTTCATCTCTGGATCATGACAAAGATGCCAAGTGTCGAAAACATTTACATAATTCATAGAGTGGAACTGTTGTACCTAAGTCATGTTTGTAGTGCTTTTTATTTGTTTGCAAGTGTCTGAAAGTTTTGGTTTTGAACATGTTTCATCAATGTTTCAGAGGAATCCCAACATTAAACTCTACGGCTTACCTTGGGGTTTTCCGGGCTGGATTGGACAAGGTACCCGATCCCCATATGTCAATGTCAGTATGACAGCCGACTACATTGTCAGGTGGATCAATGGTGCTAAAGTGTACCATAATTTAACCATTGACTACGTCGGGGTGAGTTACTTTGATTATATTAAGTTTTGAGTATGCTGTATTGGTTAATATACCTTGTGAACAAGTTAACGAGAGTTACACCAGTTTCAAACAGCTACGAGAAGTAGGTAATCTTAGTTTAATTAAACATTTATTACAAAAAGTGAAATATGTAGTTGTGTAACATTTTATCAAAGTGATTCACTCTTGTACAGATGCTCTATTTGTATTGTATTTGTCACTATGTCTATGGAAACATAGATTTCGTGCATTAAATGCTTGAAAAGAATGTATCTTAGTTAGATGATTTTTTTATCTGCCCAGCCCTTCTCCCCCTCCGTAAATGGTCAAGCTTTGAATGTATGACATGGTGTTGGTGTAAGCGCACCTGAAGAATAGGACATTTAGTGTGAACGCACCTTTATAGTAGTTATTGTGACATAGGCCTAAAGGACATATCACGTGACTGACACCTCATGTGATTTCGTGCAAGCCGCGGGTAATCTAAGTGTCACTCACTCACTCACTGAAGCTGAAACGAGTAACATCGGCTAACCAAGAACTACCAGAAGACCAGTGGTGGGGCCCCACCAACTTCAATTACCATCTAAATCTACTACTGCAAGACTCAAGTAAGTCGTAACATAACAATATCTTTGGATTTTATGGCTGTTATTTGATGCCAGTGCTTGATTTCTGCTCTAAAGTGTTCTAACATTTGAGGGCTCAATTGTATAATGGTTTTGATGTTTTTTTTTCCATTCCAGATCTGGAACGAACGGCCATATGATATCAGTTACATAAAGGTAAAGGATTAATTTTTTATCCTTGATAATTACTGTTCAATTGTCAGTTTTATTCATATAAGCTGAAGTAAGTGATTTCCATCTTTTGATGTTGTTTTTTTTTAAAATTAATGAAAATGTAATAGTATTTTAATTTTTAGCTGGAACATATGAAGCAGTGCTCTGTGTTTTTATTTGTTGTAATACTTTCTACAGGCACTGCGTGCGACCTTGGATGCACGAGGATTCCAAAACACGCTTGTTATTGCTGCTGATGAAAAATGGGAGATTGCAACTGATATTCAGGCAGATCCTGCACTGGCCAAAATAGTTCATGCTATTGGGTATGTAGAATGCAAATAGGCATTACACTTGTCCTCTTTGGAAGAGGCATGGAAATTAAATGAAAATCAAAGGTGTCTTTCTGTCACTCATCATTCACTGAATTTATATTTACTTAAAATCTGTTGGTGTTTTGTCAAACTATCTTGCCTACTCCATTTTTTCATTACTTTGCATTGTTTTATATTACAGAGGCACTTGTGATCCTCCATGCTGCTTGTAAGTAATATGAGTGGGATGCTTGTTAAAAGAATTTAACATATAAATTCAAAGTCATCAATGTCACTGTAAAAATGCTGCGTGGTTTCTTGACAGGTGTCACTACCCAGGCACTCTTTCTGACCCTGACGCTGTAAGCACAGGGAAACAATTGTGGGCCTCGGAAGATTATAGCACTTTCAATGATGACGTTGGTGGAGGATGCTGGGCACGGGTAACTGTTTTGTTCATCGTAGCTTAGATGTTTTCACTGTTCGACCTCGTCTTGTATTTTATTTTATGTGTTGCTGTTTTCTTGGTGACCTTGGAAAAGAGCATGATTCTTTAAATTGCAGGTTCTGGCACTTTGTTGTATTTGGAGGTTTGCTGACGGGCTGGTAGTAGGTTCATAATGAATGAGTCATGAGTAAAATTTTAAAAAAACTCAAGTCAGTTAGATATTAGGTTTGCTTTTTAAAGTGTAAATAGATTACAATGGAAAATAGATGAAAAATATATTTTTACTTGGTGAGGATGGAAATGGATGGAAATCAGGGGAGGGGAGTGGGCAAACAGATGGCACCATCTATATAATACACTATATGCACTGACTTGCACTGAACAAGTGGACTCAGATGTGAGCATTGATTGTTTCACATGTCTCATGCTTTCATAGGATCAATGCAAATGTCTAGCCCCCACCGGAAAGAAGTAAATAAAAGCAGTATAAAGACATACTGAATGTCTTCAACCCAGCGTAACAATGGCAAACAGGTTACATCAGATTTATTTTTTTTGTATTTGTAAGTCACCTCATGTTTGTTACCAAAATGTGGCGGTCTCTAATATTCTTTACCCTTGATTTTTGTTTCTATCAACTAGACAATAATATTCTTGTGTAAGTCAGGGATTTTCCATGCAGCTATGATATATATATATATATATATAAATATGTATGACTTGTAATCTCCTTTTACTTCTTCCTTTGTGAAGTCAGAGTTGTTTAGTCCTTTTTTTTTTTAAACTTGAAAGTCAAGTTAGTTTGCATGCACAGTCATTGAAAGGGGGTAGGGCAGATTTGTTCACCCTTTATTTTTGTTTCTGTCAACTGGACAAATATTTTTGGTTAAAGTCAAGGATTTGTCTTGCAGCTATGATAAATAATAATAAGTGCTCGGTGGCCCTTACAAAACACACACACACACGCACGCACGCATGCACGCACGCACACACACACACACACACACATACACACACACACACACACACAAAGGCTCTAAAGCTCAGTGCCACTACGATATGCATAAATTTTTTTTTAATGTCTTGTAATGTCATTTGACTTTTTTTCTTGTGCAGATAGAGTTGTTTAATCCTTTTCTTTTGAAACTTGAAAGTCAAGTTTCTTTGTATACATTTGTTTGTTGATAACCTTACTAACTGTTCTATCACAACTTACTTTTTTTCTCCACTTGATAAACTATTTTTACTGCATTTGTCTAAGTGATATGTATCATTACTTCTTGCTCTTCAGCTCAATTGTAAGTGTTCCTGTCATTGTCATTGAGTCTTAGGTACAAGTAGTTACAGTAACCATCAGTTTCCCTCTACAGGTGATAGATAACAGAATAAGACTTTGGACCTGTGTCCTTACATTCCTAGTTGCCACACACACAAAAAATTGTCAGTTATGCTCCTTCATGTCAAATGATTACATTGTAAAGTGGCTTTCTTCTTGCACTGCATATTTTGGAGTGAGATATATACTGAATAAGCTGTTTGTCAATCATATTTTTAAAATTATAGGAAAATATGGATTTGTTACAAAAAGTTCCACATTTTTTAGTTGTGAATGCAGCCTGTATTACATATGTGTTGTTGTAGAGGAAAAGTAGGACAAAGTTCGTTTGATGAAATATACTGCCAGATATAAAATTCGATATCCATTATCAGTCACCGGAAAAAGAAAGATAAAGAATACTGATATGATTTTTACCTTGTAGGCTTAAGTACCCCTAGACGATATCAAACTATTCTTGGTATCTGTAATAGACGTCTTTAATATATGTTTTCAACCTTGAGAGGTTGTTATTGATCCAGAAAACCTTGAAAATTAAAAAAATGGATGGAATGGCAAACATCCACCCCTAGCTGTCGAGGGGATGAATTTTATGGGACCTATACTTTTTCTGCATCTCTTCATCCTCATTTTATATCTATTGTTTTAGTTTTTTTACATTTTAGACTTTCAAAATTAGTGGCCTTCAATATATGTTAATATTCATGATAAGTTTCACCCCACCCCACAAAACCAACAAAATTAATATATCCAGCAAAAACCTTCTGGTTTTCCCAATGCCCTTTCATCTGCATGAAAACAATATTCTGATTTCGATTTCCTTAAAGTTGCCTTTATGGCTTTTGACAATTGTAAGGTAGAAGTCAAAGGTAGAACACTTCTTTAGAAAAAAAGAAAGTATGTTTTTATCAACTATTTGCAGAACATGATGCAGAAAAGTCAACGATGAAGATGCTGCATTGATGATGGTTTTACAGATCTATTTACGTCTGTACCTTTCCTCTTATACCCTGTGCAGACCTGTCATCTGTTTCATGTTTACTCTCTTCATTATCCATTTCCTTGTGCCCTCACCATTTTTTGTAGACTGAAGCTTCATTCTGTTAGCGTTGTGTATTTAGTTGATTTCCTGAGTTTTTAAAATAACACCGTGATTTTTGTTCCTCAGATTCTGAATCAGAATTACGTCAATGGCTTGATGACAGCGTAAGTAGTTTCTTATTCCTCATATCATTGCTTCAGCGCTGGGTCAAAATGGTAAAAATGGACAAAATAACTTCACTTCTGTTACTGATCCAGTTTTCGTCGTTGTTATTGTTATTGTTGTTTTTTATTTAGAACTTGCAGAAATTGAAGGGTTTTTTAAAGAGAGGTGAAAGTTGTCTTGCTTTTATTCTCTTATGTAAGAAAAAGGTCAGAATTTTGTTTAATCATTCGCTACATATTATTTTCGGCTTGCGGACGAATTTTTTGGGGGGGAGGGCGAATGAGATGATGACTTGTGGGCAGTTAAAAGGTCTTTGGGGCCACAAATTCAAATAAATATCAACGTATTATATACCAATATTTTCAGTATGGTTTGTAGAATACATCTGTAATGTTTATGTATTTTTCAACTTTGGTTCCTGTAAGAGGCAATTATGCAACACAATTTTGATTGGATGCGGATAAAATTTGAAAATAAAAAATTAATAATCTTTGGTGAAACTCAAAAAATATGTTTGCACCTAGTCAAATGATACATCAAAATAACCATAAATGTTTATAGAACAGGAATATATTGAAAAGTTTGCAGTTATTTACATATATTCCATAATATTTGTACATTTGGATCATAACATCTGAATTGAAAAAAAAATAAAAAATTTATAATCTTGAAAAACGATCACAAACAGAAAAAAACCCACTCGTATCTTATATGGAATTATTCAGAATTGCATTTGGAATAAACCTATACATGTCTTGAGTGGCACTTTTTGTGTAATTTTATCAAAAAGTAGTGATTTTGAGGAGAAAAAAATATTTTGACAATTTAGATTCAGGCCTAGATCTAGCACTCAAAAATATTAATTTCTCAATAACAGTGCATTGGCAATATGAGTCCAATCGTATCAATATTATAAAAAAGAGTCCTACATTTATTTAATGGGCAAAATAATGATAGATTTTGTTGTGTACAATTACTAAAACTGGTGTCCGGGCTATAATTTTCTCATCGCGATAAAACAAAGTCGAATAAACTACGAAATCGTGTTTCAAAACTGAATCTAAACTTCCTATTTTCAGTGGAAATGCTTGACCCGGAAGTCAACATTATATTATGACCTTTATTTTAACATGGATATGTGGATTGGAATAGAATCTAAGCTAGAATTGAAGATCGGTTCTCGAGCCGCCGGGGGCGGCTTAGCGTACTTACGGCACTTTAGCCGAGCCCCCCCCCACGGCTTGGCGTAGCGAATGAGTTAAGGAAGAAATCTCGGCAAATTATTATTTAAACCTTAGGACTTTAAGAGTTATTGTGAAATGCTGTTTTAGTTAAAGAAAGCAAACCTCAATGATTTTCTCTGTCAATAAATAATAATTATGTGAACTGGAAGCAACTGAAAGTGTAATTTTATTCTGTTTCTTAAGGCAGTCATGTCTCTGTATATTTATCATGTACTCTTTCTTCTTGCTTGGTTTTTATATCTTGTGATTTGACATCATGTCCAATATCAGAACACTCAGAGCAATTTCATAAAATATTTCATCTTTGGACAGCACCATTTCTTGGAACCTGATAGCCAGCTACTACGACAACTTGCCATTCTATGGGGATGGTTTGATGACAGCTGTTGAACCATGGTCAGGCAACTATGTCGTGGAGACACCCATCTGGGTTTCAGGTAAAAGAAACCATTGGACAGTATCTGAATGGTCAATAAGATTTTTTAGATAAATTCTGGAGCTGTGTTGATTTAGATATAGATGCAATTATTATTGTTTCCTTACATTTTATATTGCTAACTTCTTGGCAGCTTTTTTTTTCTATTTCACTTACATGGAATGGGTTACCTTTTCCCTTTTCTTCAGATCAATGATAAAGAATCTTTGGGTTTGTAATCTACCTTGACATAGATGTAAAAATCAATAAATTTCACAGTATCTATTTTTATCTATTTGGAATTTACATCCAGCTCATAAATTATTAGATTTTCATCTTGTGTTTTGTTCTATGCTTTCAAGACATGTTTTCATTTTCTTGACACTTATACTCTGTGACATTTATAGATAGATTTCTGTTTTGCTTTTTTGGCCAAGCTACTGTTGATTACCATGAATAGTCATTCTATAAAATGAAAAATATGGAAAGTTTTCTCTGCCTGTACCTTTATTTTCCTTTAGTGAGGAACTACTATCTTTGTTTATAAATGTCATTTTGCTATAATGTTCAATTGAACACAAAGTGTTTCTATTTGATTGACACCAGAATCTTTAGAGATGATTTTTTTCCCTGTATGCAGCACATACAACCCAGTTTGCTTTTATTGGCTGGAACTATCTCAAGCATGACTCCGGAGTTGGGAAACTGCCAAAGGGAGGCTCTTATGTGGGTCTTGTCAATCCAACATGGACAGAACTTACCATTGTCATTGAAACTATGGTAAATAACCTAGCTCATGTGAATTATATAGTTAGTTTCTTTATGCAGAGCATAAGAGTGCTTTTATGTGTAAGCTTTGTCTTTGTTCTGGAGGTTTAAGATTTTCATAAAAATGGGAATCTGTTTGCAAATAAAAGTTATTCATTTGTCCTGGATGTCAATGAAAATAGCACTGGTCTTGGAAAATCTTAAACTTTTTTTCCATACATGTGTAAGTTTCAGTGGATTTCTGAACATTGAAACTTCTTTCCAGTAGAATTATGATGTATTACAAAGTAAATTGGAAAAATGTCTAGAGACTTATTGTTCTAGTTCCCTATTATGTAATAGCAGTTCAGTGTTTTTTCCCCAGAAGTCTCAGTCTCAGAATCTGTTTCTCTGTTGTTTCAATGTATTCCTTTATTTAGCATTTTCCTGTTAAATTTTTGCCTTATTTTTCACTTTCTGACTTTAACATTGCATTATGTCTTTTTTGGTGATGATTGTTCTGGTTATTTAAGAAAAAACATAACTATTTCCACTTTGTGTCTTTTACTTTTTCTTCCGTGAAAATCGTCTTCACTTAATTTGTATTTCAAATTTCCGGAAACTGAATTCATTGGCAACAATGTTAAAAGTAAAAATATTGATTTTTAGCAACTTGTAAACATAAAAATCATTGTAATAATCATTGTAATAATTTTAGTAATAATAATATTTGAGGTGTGCTGAGTTGCTTCTCGGATTTCAGCCTATGGCAATTGATCCATCAACTTAAAAGGTGAAGTTTGTACAGTTTGTAAGTATGAATACTAAAAGACATGGCAGACTTGAAAAAAATGGCGTCAATTGAAAATGTATTAATCTGACCCCAGTGTCGATTTTCGGCCGAAATATCCATTCTTGGATTGCGAGAAGTAACTCATTTTACCAGCACGCCCCACGTATTCATCGTAACACAATGATAATAATAAATTTACGTATAAAAATGATGTTTATATGAGTCGTAGTAGCAATGATATTGGTCATTCTTAAACTACGTCTGTATTATGAAGCACCATGATATGTTGGTGGGTTGTTTTTTAACTCATTTTTGTTAAAGAATATATCAAGGGTAATTTTACAACTTTCTAAAGTTTTGCTGCTTGTTTGTCTTTGACAGACCCATAATCATTCACTGTGTGTTCGACCACCACTGCCAGCCTACAACGTTGAACCCCAGGTTGTTACTGTTTCATTGGCAGGAAAATTCGTAAGTGTTTTTTAGAATAAGACTTAGTATAAGTTGTGCTCACCTTTGAAAGTATGTTAGAAAAACCAACTATTATTATTTGTTTACTTGGTATATGAATAATAAACAGAACGTGGTGCCTTTTAATCTACTTATATATTGTTGCGATCATGATAAGGTCAAATAACTACAAAACTTTCGATTTTGCTTTTTTCACAAAACTTCTTCTACGAAGCCTATTTCATGCTGGTTAAAAATTTGTATTCAAATAAGCAACCAAAAGTGGACTTTGTGAATTGTATAACAACTCTAATCCGTCCTTTTGATAAATCAAGATTTTCTTTCTCCTGAAAAATTTACCTGATGTCACTTATCTTACCTTATCACAATGGTGACAATATGTTGAATAAAGCAAGTACATGCTTTTGTAAATAGAAGTATGTAAAACTATTCTTAATTCAGTATTAGTTTCGTTTTCTTTAGGTACCTTCCTTAGTGGAAGCAGCAATGTTCTGAAATTTGAAAGTTCTTGATAAGCCCATATGCAGTACAGATATGTGCCATGCCGTTTTTCATTCATTACAACGGTACATTTCTTGTCAGTAATGCAATGGTTCTTATTTCCCCCACAGTCGAGCATCACCGAAATGAATGTTTGGTACAGCAAACTCGGATTTGATGGTGCCAAGGACATTTTGTTTGAGAAAAAAGACCCAATTAAAGTAAGCATTTAGTTCTTTGGAATATATGAGTATAATAAATGACAGAAGACGTTAATGGAGCAGTCATTGTAGATTTGTTGGAATTCTTTTCAGTGAGAAAGTGGCATTGTTGGATATTGTTCCAAAGTGCATGCATTTCGTGCACATTTTTTGGATAACTTATACATTTTCTTGCCATGTTTCAAAATTCCATCATATTTCTCCTTTTTTGCTTTTAAGCTTATGTACATTTACTTGAGAAAGCTTGCCAATACCTTCATAATGAAACTGAGTGTTGTTATATGAGGTGATTCATCGGTACAGAATTTGATGTTTTTGTCAAGAAGACTGTACACTTGTCTGACTGGTCAGGTCTACGTGATTGGGTCTGGTCAGGAGAGGAAACTGATCAGTGCCAACATTATATCTATCAAAATAGCCCGAAGTTCAGTAAAAATAACTTTTACTTCTGATGCTGTATATGCCTCTTTTTTATATAACCATTAGACATTCATCTTCTCCTCAATACTTTGTATACCTTACTGCACAATGCCAAGTAATAGAAACAGAAGGCTTTTATGTTTTGCATCATGCTCCTTCCTCTGAAGAAATAAATATTAAAGTGTTTGAAGAGTCCCGTTCATATAATTTTATTATTTAGGACTAAAGGAACCATTCCCAACCATCCTGTGCTCAAAATTTGTATGTAGAGTATTTCAAGTGAGTGACACTGGGTAGAGGGAGAGAACCTCATGCTACTTAAGCATAAAGAGACAACTTATTTATTGTCAGCATGTCAAACTGGCCACAGTTTAGAAAAACTTTGCCTGAATGGGCATTACCACCAAACAAAGTCTACAAATCCTGAGGTGTGCCCACTTCATGACTTTAATTGTGGAGATAATTTGGGAGTTGATATGACTTCATTATTAGTAAAAATTGGCAAGACATTTTGCCTCTGAGCTTTAGTAAAGTACGCTTATTATTTTTATAATTGCTCTGTATCCGACCTGCCTCATTACAAGACACCCAAGTTTCACAAGACAAGTCTAACCTAACAATGGATACCTTGTATTTATCATCATTGTCATATTTTTTATTTTCAGTTTGTCAATGGCAAGGCACAACTGAGCCTGGGCTTGGATGAGGTCATCACGCTCACGACTATGACGACTGGTCAGAAGGGTGTTTATCCTGAGCCACCTCCTTCTCAGCCCTTCCCCCTCCCTTACACAGAGGACTTTGAAAGTAAGGATCATTTGTTCATTTTTCCTTGTGTCGCTGCTTCCACAGAAATGGTTAGAATTTTTTATGGGGCTATACTCAGCTCCCAGCTGTGGTTTGGTTGTTCTTGTGGGTGGCTGTTGTTTTTATCCAATTACTAACACTTGTCTGACAGGCAGTATGGTTCCATCACTTCCTTATCCAAATTTAGATCTTTGTCCACATTGACAACGGATTGAAGATGATATCCCTCTCTCTCTCTCTCTCTCTCTCTCTCTCC